AAAGACTTATTTAATTTCCACATCCTATAGGAAAAGAGAGAGGGAAGGGGATTCCCAGTGGTCTATATTCTAGTCAATACTTTTGGAAACAGTTATGGGTAAGACAGGACTATAGAAGGTTACATATCTACAGATATGATTTGGGAAGTCGCTGTAGATTTCTCTACAAACTTTACAACATATTCTGGAGAGTTGGCTGTTTTAGCTAATTAGCTTTACACATCTTAATTTTCTTGTTATATGAAGCCCCTTAGTCTACAGCAGTACAATAGACTTAGTGGAGGAATGCAGGATTCCTGGGTCAGACCTGCTTGCTTTGGCTCACCTGGAAAGGGGAGGGTTGTGTGAGAGGCCATCTGTTTGCACTTGCATGTGGCCAGCAGCTGGCTTGTTCCAGAACTGAGTGAGAATTCCTAGTCCCCATGTGTGCATTTCTGGCATGAAGCTGCAAGTGAGAGCAAAGACCAACACCCTGTGGCTCTGTGCCCCCCTTTCCAGCAGGGATGGGCCCAGGGCATATCCACCTGGGAGACTCAAGTCGGTGCTTTCTCTTTGTCTATTTGGCTATGGCTGTGCTGAGCTATTGGCTGTTTGAATAATTCAAATTCTGCCCAAAGAACTTAGTGTATTTGTTCATTTGGATTTGTAGCTTTTAAAAAACCTTGGGGCTGGGGATGTGGCTCAATCGCCTGGCATGTGCAGGGCGCTGGGTTTGATCCTCAGCACCACATGATAATAAAAATAAAAGTGTTGTGTCCACCAAAAACTAAAAAAAAAATACATATTTAATAATTCTCTCTCTCTCTCTCTCTCTCTCTCTCTCTTTAAAAAAACAAAAACAAAACAACAACAACAAAAAAACCTTAGTGGTTTCCTGGGCCTTCTCCCTCATTTTACCTTTTGCTCTTTGTAATTTCTTTTTACTCTCTGTGAACATTTATATAAACAACTTTCAAAATACAGAGTGACCCTGTCTCACATTGGAGGCCTGAGCACATGTCCACATTGAGCTTCCTCTTGGCCACTTACTGTGGGTGATCTCCCTGAAGCCTGTGACTGTGCAGTTGTTTCATCCTTTGCAGAGCCTCAAGGGTGTACAGAGGCTACTGCTTATCACAGCTAGGGAGAAGACAAACGGTCCTGTGTGTCTGAGGAAGGGAATTCTATGAACTGCATGCTGAGTCGCTCTTTAGCTTAGGCAGAGAGAATCTCTTCCTGTCAAGTTAGCAGAAGGGTGAAGGAGAAATAATCAACTTCTTTTTTTCTTTCATAAGTACAATTTTGCACATTGTTTTATCAAAATTTGAGTATACTTCATCTTTATCTTTATGATCCTGAATAGAATGAAGTCAAAATTCATGTGAATGGGCCAAAGAAGAGTTCAGTTATGAGTACACTTGAATCACTACATAGTGCCTCTCTTCAGCTTTCCCTGGGCAGCTACTGCTGACCTGCCCACACTCGGCTCTTATTCTGTAGGTACTGCTGAGTGACTCATTTACAACTGTATCATAACTTTATTTAACAACTTAGTAAGATCAAAAATGATACTTCTCACCATGGTATGTGGAGAACAAAATTAAACCATACACAGTGGCTAAAGAAAAAGTATTCCACTCAACACTGCTCTGAGTGACATTAAGATTACCAAGTGTAGAAGAAATACTTTCCAAACACTGTCCCTATAGATGTAAAGGGGAAGTTCTGCCTGTGTTCTTTGCTAATAACCCAACAGTGGAAGAAAACAGCATACTTCAACTACAGCCACAGAAAGAGAGAGACAGGAGACGAGGCAGGGAAAAGCTGGCTGACTGTGCCCTGACCAAACCTGTCCCATGGATGTGCTTCATTTGGCTCTAGGCTGTCCTGGACAGGTGCCTGGGAGAGCTCCCAGGATGACCACACACAGCCTGAGAGGTTCTGAGGATCCCAGGATAACAGGATTACGTGAATCAGAAATAATTGCTTCATTCCATTAAGCAGGCTTTTCTTTTCTGGTTGGTTTGCTCATTTTCTCCCTTTTATTCTTTCCAATTACTGGCCTCAGACAAACTTGCCAGACCCTGCGGCTGTCCCAGAGATAGTGGCTGACACACCCCCTGTTCTTGGACCTTTTAGAGGTATAGCTCAAAACAACTGTTAAAAACTCTTTTAAAAATCATCCTGCTCAGGCTGGGGTGGTGGCTCCATGGTAGAGTGCTTGTGTGAGGCACTGGGTTCAATCCTCAGCACCACATAAAAATATAAATAAATAAAGTTATTTTAAAAAGTCATTAATTGTTTAAAAAAAATTTGCCTGGCTCAGGCCCCACCCTTAAGGATTCTTAACTAAATCTGTGGTGGGCCCTGGGTGGGCATCTTCAACTCTTGAAAGAAATCTGATATGACTGTGCTTTGAGAGGCAGCCCCAGGCATGGTGGGAGCAGCAGTAGTGTGGCAGGACAGAGCTCCAGCTCTGGGACATCCAGACCCATCTGCCCTGTTCCATGGAGAGGGTTATGCCAGCAGTAGGTTCAGGTCACAGTGCAGACAGCTGGGCCTCTTTCCTCATCCACTTGCTCTCTACATACATGTCCTCCCCTTCCTGCTCTCCCCCCTGTCCTCTCTTGTCTCCCTTCTAGGCCACCAATGAATAGAGCTAGCAGTGGACTGTAGCTTGTCCCATCCTTCTCTGCTGAGCTTGCCTCTCCTCACATTGAGGACTGAATAGTTGAGCAAGTAATCTGTGGTCTCTTGAGTACAGTTCACATTTCTCCAAAGCAGTAGGGTCAGCAGGGACCTCATGCTAATAACCACTGTCTTTGCTCCTCTCCTGAGTGCTGCTCTAACCATGTGACATCATTCATTTAGAAAAGCATTCTTCTCAACTCTGCAAGTAATCAAGTATTAGGAATAGGCTTGCTTCGTAGCTTAGAGCAAGGGGATGAGATTTCATAATGCCCGTGTGCACATGATGACATCCAGACTATGATCCGTTCCCTGGGACACCACAGGCTCCACACTAGTGCCAGGGTCAGAGGTCTTTTTGTAATGGAGCTGCTTTATAAGCTTGGTATGATTCCTGTGGACATAACTAAGACATATATTTTTCATACAATGATTTACTCTTGAAATAGTAGCACTGATAGAAAATAGTGTCTGTAATAGCTGGACATTTGGCATCTACAATTTGTCACACATTTACTCTTTTATACAAATGTTAGTAAAACTTGAGCACATTCATAACCATGAGAGTATGATATCCAAATAGCTAATAAGCATGTGATAAAGGCTCAACATCACCATGAAGGAAAATGCACGTTAAAACTACAGTGAATGTGTAGACAGCCTCAAATAATAGGGCGTCATTTCTGAGGCTGGGTTACCAATGACTCTGGCTGTAGTCTTGCCCATCTCTTGCTCACTCACTTGCCCACACTGACAGAAGCCAGTGACAGGATGTGAGCGGCCCTGAGGAGAAGCCATGTGGCAAAGAACTGAGGGTGACCTCAGCCCATAGTGAGGGAGGAACTGAGGCTCTTGATCCAAAAGCACAAAAGGGACTGAATCCAACTAACAACCCCTTGAGTGAGTCTGGAAGCAGGTCCTCCCCCAGTTATCCCTGAGATGACAATAGCTAGAAGCCAAATCTGGATCACAGCTTTGTATGAAATATGTGCTATAGATAGCTGATACAGAATCACTGGAATGAGTGTAGTAAAAATGACATCAATAACAAGTGTTACTTGGTATTAATATTTGATAATAATATGGAGTAACTAGAATCCTTCTCCCATATGAAATCCACAGCATTGCCAGCAGGTCCAGACTATCACATGGTATATCTCTGATCCTTTCTGTTTATTGAATTTCTCCCAGGTGATTATATTGGGCCACACAAATAATAGGTTACCTCCCATCTCGGTCTTTAATCTTAATTCCATGTATAAATCCATTTGCCAGATTAGTTGATTTGTTCATAGTTTCTGGGGATTGGGACATGGACATCTAGAGGATGACACTTTCTGCCCACCACTCTAATATTTTCTCCTATGGATCTTCATGTCATTTTATTAATGATGTCCTTTGTAGTATAAAAGTCTTTCATTTTAATTTGTTCAATTAATTAATTACTTTTCCTTTATGGATTATGCTTTTGGTGTTATATAAGCTATCACTTAGCCTAAGAACACAAAAATGTTCCTGTTTTCTTCTAGAAATTCTTACAGTACCCACCCCCTGACCTTTTTTTTAATACCAGGGATTGAACCCAGGGTAACCACTGAGCCACATCCCTACCCTTTTTTATCTTTTACTTAGAGAGGGTCTCGCTAAATTGCTCAGAGCATTGCTAAGCTGCTGAGGCAAGCTTTAAACTCACAGTCCTCCTGCCTCAGCCCCCAAAGATCAGTTTTTATTCTTCAATGGATTTATGATTCATTGACAGATTGTGCTAGGTAAGGATCTATGCATACCTCATTAATTAATTAATCAATTTTGTAATTGGGTATTCAGTTCTCCCAGCACTACTTGATTAATTTTTTTCTATGTGTTGAAAATCAAATAGCCAATCTTGAAAGATTTATAATGAACTTTCAGTTCTCTTCCATTGATATGTATACCTACCCTTCCAACCATATTACAATGTCTTCTATCATGGGTAATTGAAAGGTTTCATATTTTTAAGAATAGTGTTCAGATTATTTCAGATCTCAAATAGTAATTCTGAACTGTTTTCTATAACTAAAAATAATAGGGGATAAAAGAAAATATAACTTTTATGCATTCATTTGGTAACTTAAAAATCCTTTGATTCTCTTGGATTCTCTTATAGGACTAAGTTATAAAAATGTCAGAAATATGGTATTGGTGTTCCATTAAATATCTTGATGAACAGTATGTACTTCTGTACTTTGAATCTGAACCAGGTATTGTTGTTGCTGCTGCTGCTGTTATTATATAATCAATTTCCTTTGTTTAAGTAACATTCTCAAATCTCTGATCATGCTTATTCTTTTCAGATCAATCTCTAGAATCCCGCAGAATCTTGAACAAGACAGTGCCAAGCTTGCCCAACATGGACACCATTTTCAGGGAAGCCTTTGCAAAGATGCAGAAACAGTACCCTGGGTGCCTGGCTCCGGAGACTTGTGTCCGTGCAGTCCAGGCCTCTGTGAAGTATCCCTATGAAGTGGGCATCAAGGAGGAAGAGGAGCTATTAATGTACCTTCGGGGATCAGGGCAGGCTAGAGCCCTGCAGTATGCTTTCTTTGCTGAAAAGAATGCAAGTAAATGGTCCACTCCCTCTGGGGCCTCATGGAAAACAGCATCAGCACGACCCATCTCCTCCGTTGGTGTCCTTGGTAAGCAGGTGGGGGCAGTTCATGGGCTTCTCCAAATGTGTGCATGTCAAGAGCTAACTTTTACTTCAGGACACCAGGTCCCAGGTTCTATGCTGAAATCACTACTCCTGTTAGCTCCAGTAATTCTCTCCCAAGTCCTCAAACTGCCTTCATCTTATGTGTGAGGCCTAGAGATGCTAACCTTTTCCAGAGTGAGCTAAACTCTTGTGGTGTGAGGGCCTGACCTTGGCTGTCTGTCTCCAGACTGTGGGCACTATTTACTCCTCCTCTCTAACCCTTCTCTGTATGAATCTCTCGCTCCAGGATTTCCAAACAGTGATTGATATTTGTAGCACATTTCAAGCATGGCCTTTCACTCTTGCAGCTGAGTGATCAATTTTTGGGATCAATTTTCTTGTCTTTCTGGTCCCTGGATGCATTCACACCTCCTACCTCAAAACCACCATCAGTTTGTGATGTAGTCTTCCACTGCTCTCTTGTGCCCACTAGAAAGCTCTGACATCTATCTGGGTTGGATGTGGTTTGGAAAGTTTGCCAGGGGTAAGGTCTTACTGGACCCACATTGCCTCTGGGAACTTCTGCCAAAAAGTGAGATAATACAAGATACTACCCGATTCCTGATATGGTCTGTGAATCAGAACAATATGGGCAACAAGGCAGGGTAGGGCTGGTATCAGTATGGCACATTGCCATAGAAATTGTGGTCCAATAAGCTAGTTTCAAATTCCCCATCCATTGAATCATTCATTTTCTCCTTCACTGTCTCTGCAGGCTTGGGAACCATGGGCCGAAGCATTGTCATTACTTTTCTAAGGGCGAAAATTCCTGTGGTTGCTGTAGAAGTAGACCAAAAGCAGCTCAAAACTGCAAAGAAGATAATAACTTCCAGCTTGGAAAAGGCAGCATCCGAAATGCCACAGAATGACCAGCCTTGGTCAGGACCAAAACTCAGGTTCAGTTCATCTATGAAGGAACTTGCTAGCGTAGACTTAGTTGTCGAAGCAGTATTTGAGGATATGAAGCTGAAGAAACGAGTCTTTGCTGAACTGTCAGCCGTGTGCAAGCCAGAAGCATTTTTGTGCACCAATACTTCAGCCCTGGACGTGGATGAATTTGCTTCTTCCACGGATCGGCCGCATTTGGTCATTGGCATGCACTTCTTCACACCAGCTCATGTAAAGAAGTTGTTAGAGATTATTCCTAGCCAACACTCTTCCCCCACCACCATTGCCACTGTTATGAACTTAGCCAAAAAGATTAAGAAGATTGGCGTAGTCGTAGGCAACTGCCATGGCTTTGTTGGTAATCGAATGCTAGTCCCTTATTTTGACCAGACGTATTTCTTGGTAGAAGAAGGTAGCAAGCCAGAGGAGATAGATCAGGTGCTGGAGGAATTTGGTTTTAAAATGGGACCCTTTCGAGGGTCTGACCTTGCTGGTTTGGATGTGAGTTGGAAAGTTCGCCAGGAACAAGGTCTTACTGGACCCGCATTGCCTCCTGGTACTCCTGTCCGAAAGCGGGGTACTAGAAGATACTGCCCAATTCCTGATATGCTCTGTGAATCAGGACGCTATGGGCAGAAGACAGGGCGGGGGTGGTATCAGTATGACAAGCCATTGGGAAGGATTCACAAACCTGATCCCTGGCTTTCCAAATTTCTGTCACAGTACAGAGAAACCCATCATATTGAACCCCGTGTCATTAGCCAGGATGAGATCCTTGAGCGCTGCTTGTATGCACTCATCAATGAAGGGTTCCGTATCTTGGGAGAAGGGATGGCTGCTGGCCCAGAGCACATTGATGCCATCTACTTGAATGGGTGTAGCTGGCCAAGGCACAAGGGTGGGCCCATGTTCTATGCTTCCACAATTGGGTTGCCCACCGTTCTGGAGAAGTTGCTGAAGTACTACAGGCAGAATCCTGATATTCCCCACCTGGAGCCCAGCAACTACCTAAAAAAGCTGGCTTCCCAGGGAAACCCTCCTCTGAAAGAATGGCAAAGCTTGGCAGGGCCCCCCAGCAGTAAATTGTGATTCAGGATGTGCCTCCCATGCTGGCATCGGGTAAAACTCACTGGATTTCAATAAAGTTAATTCCAAGAATCCAGAGTAAGAATACTCTGAAATGCAAAGCAAAGGAAGTAATTGGTTACTTAAACCTTTTTTTTTTGATGTTTTTTCTTTTTGATTCTAATGAAGGAAATCTTTATGAAAGTGCTTTCTATGCCTCTGAATGTGTTCCTTTCAGATAAATTTAGTAAATGAAGTTGTGTAAACATAATTCTACAATAGCTGATGAGAGAGCCTTAGGAATACGTTGAGGTTCCCAAGTGCTTTGATTGTTGGAGCAATGTTCAACATTTAATAAAATATAAATGTAGCTAAATCATAAACTTCTTTTGTCTTGGGCTGGGGATATAGCTCAGTTGGTAGAATGCTTACCTCACATGCACAAGGCCCTGGGTTCAATCCCCAGCATCACACATACACAGAAAATTTCTTTTGTCTTTTTAACCTCACATACGTATTCTTGATTGCAAATCCTATAGGTTATACAACTCCAAACAGTCACTGAGCACCCCCTGAGTTTCTTGCTCCACTTGAGAGCACATGACAGTCCTAGAGCCCAGAAAACAGCATCAGCACGACCCATCTCCTCCGTTGGTGTCCTTGGTAAGCAGGTGAGGGTATTAAACTAGTATAGAAGCCTGTGTTGCTGTTGGGTCCATACTTTCAGAGATGGAGATCATTGGCAGGGTAGAGTCTGCAATGAGGGTCTCTATGGGCGGGGGGCATGGAACACTGCCTAAGGATAAGTAGATTAGTAGCAAGAAAGAAGGCCCATCAGAGTTGGAAATTGGTGAGGGCTCCAAGTATTTGAGACCCAAACAGGGCACTTCAGGGCAGCTTGGCCAATCATGCTCATAAGATCAGTTCTGTCCAAGGCTCAGTCTCCTGTGCTTGCTGCTTTCAAGCGGCTCAGTGATATTTGTTGTTTATTCCCCAGGATGCAGAACATCTGCAACGTGGTCTTTATGGTCTTTTCTATTCAAGGAGAAGTAATAGAAAGACTAAGTTGTTCCCTTAGTTTAAGAAGGGATCTTAGTGAACATCTAACGTTCAAGGATTTCTTAATTTAAAAAAAAAAATTTTGTAGTTGTAGATGGACAGAATGCCTTTATTTGTATATTTTTTAAATATGGTGCTAAGGATCAAACCAGTGCCTCACACATGCTAGGCAAGCACTCTGCCACTGAGCTACAGCCCCAGCTCAAGGATTTCTTAGTTCTTAAGCAGTGTAACAATGCCAGTTTCCCTGTCAAGACAAGGACCTATGAATATGCATTTGGAAATGGTTGAATTTGAAAAATCTAAAATTATGGCAAAATAGATCATGCATAGTTTTGTTATTGCTGTTAATATCCTTCTCTTTTTGACTTTTTGACTTGTGTTGTTCAAAGTTAAGGCACTACGCAACAGAAAAACTTGTCAGAATTACACAGACAAAAATTCGAGACAACCCAAATGTCCACTAACCAAATGTCAACTAACAAATGTGGTCTGTTCATACAGTCAGCTATTACTCACAAAAAGAAATGAAGTCCTGGGCTGGGGTTGTGGCTCAGAGGTAGAACATTCACCTAGCATGTATGAGGCACTAGGTTCGATCCTCAGAACCACATTAAGTTGTAAGTGTCCACTTACAACTAAAAAATAAATGTTTTTTAAAAAAGAAAGAAATGAAGACCAGATATCTGCTACAGCATGAGGAACCTTGAATACACCAGGCTGAGTGAAAGAAGGCAGTCACAAAAGACCATATGTTATATAAACATTAAAGGGAATGTCCAGGGTAAACAAATAGAGACAGAAATAGAAGTTTCCCAAGACTGGAATTTTTGTTTAGTAGATAATGGGGATTGAATGCTAATGGGTACAGAATTTCCTTTGGGTTTTATGAAAATGTTCTAAAGTGATTAAATTGTGATGGCGGTGGTATAACTCAGTAAACTAAAAAATTGTTGAGTTGTTAATTTATAGGGATGAATTATTGGATATGTGAATTATATCTCAATAAAGTTATTAATAAATGGTGGGAAAGGTGTCCTTCAGTGTGGTATAAATGAAATGTTTTTACCACAGTTTCACCTGTGACCCTTAATAAAATCATCAAAAATCCTAATGGAGCCACATGTGGTAGAGTGAGCCTATATCACCCTCTATCCAGGAGGCTGAGGTGGAGAATCACTTGATCCCAGGAGAAGCCTAGGCAATTTAGCAAAACTCTTGGCTCAAACAAAAAAGTCCTGATAGAGAAATCTTGAATGAACTGAGAACAAGTTTTCCATTTAAAAAAAAAAAAATCCGGGGCTTGGGTTGTGGCTCAGTGACAGAGCACTTGCCTTGCACATGTGAGGCACTGGGTTCGATCCTTAGCACCACATAAAAATAAACAAACAAGATAAAGATATTGTGTCCATGTAAAACTAAAAAATATATTTTTTAAAAATCCAAGAGCTTTTCTTTAATTGTGGTTTAATTGAGACTAATTTTTGAGTCATATACTACTAGATTTTATATAGTTCACTTTTTGAAATTAAAGATATCATGGGAAAAGTTCTTGAAAATAGTAACTATCTCCGGGGTGATTTGTTTTCAAATTAATGTAGAAAAAGAATCACATTAATATATTTTTTTTGGGAAGAAAAGTCACCTTATTCTAATTAACTCACTAAGAATAACATCAAAACAGCTGGTGAAGGAGACCACACAATTGCCCAGCCCCAAATTCAGTATCAACTCGGTGAACTCAGTTAAAACATCTTTCCATTGCCATTGGGAAACATGAAGCTACTAAGAGACATTTAACTTATGGTTTTACATTTTATACTTTCGCTATCAATTACATTTTATGCTAAGGTAACTTGGTTATCAAAGCCAATTTTCTACTTCTTCAATTTGAACTCCCACCCCACCCCCGCTGCCATACCAGGGATTGAACACAGGGAAGCTTAACCACTTAGTCACTTCCATCTCGGCCCTTTTTTATTTTTTATTTTGAAATGAGGTCTCACTAAGTTGCTGAGGCTGGCCTTGAACTTGGAGCCCCTTGCCTCAGCCTTCCAAATAACTGGGATTACAGGCATGTGCCATCACGCCTGGCAATTTGAACTTCTTGATTAGACGAACCATTTGAAATTCTGCACTGTTTTAGCACCTCACTGAAACCCTCACAGAGCTTAACAACACCCTGGTTCTGGGCAGACATCAAAAAAAATGTTTTACCTCATAAAAGCGAGGGCCACCAAGCAACTGCTACTGTGTAGGCTGGGTTCCCTGAGACTCCTGGTCATTTCAGGCTTTGAGGGCCTAGCATTACTTCCACCACTGAAGCCCCAGTGATGGCATGCCCAGTGTGTGCCCAGAGCAGAGCCCACTGCCACACCAGCTGCAGTGATTGCCCTCAGGCCATCAGACCTGGCTGCCGGGATCCAGCATCTGGTGAGCCAAATGCAAGTCGTGGGGGCGGTTGCTGGTGGCTGAGCTACTGGTGCTGGCCAGGGAGCAAGTCTCAGCTCAGGGTCCTGGCTGGCTCAAGGGCCACAAGAAATATGGCTTCGGCTCCCACACTGCTTCCACGCTGCTTCTGAAGTGTGCTGTGAATGAGCATCTGGAAGTGTGAAACTGCAAAAAGCCTGTGACTTCTACCAAGAAGGAGAACAGAAGACAGGCACGTTAACTTTTCTCCTACAACCCTGAATGAATTCTGTTTTGAGTTCTTAAAACTTCCTCCCTGCGCTAGCTTCTAGTTTGAAGTTTTGAAACTAGAGGAACTATGAGTAGATTTTATAAGTCAATAATATTTTATGATGAAGTTTGCATATGTGCAGTACTTGGAAGAGGCCTAGGACCCACTAAAACTTAAGTATCAATACTTTATATCAACAATGGGAAAAACAAGGATGGGCTCATGTATTCTTATTTTATAATCAAAGGAAGCAAAACTGATTCTAATTTGTCTGGTGTTACCTATAATTGCATTAATAAGATGAAGCTTTTAAGCATATTCTGTCCTGTTGTTGAAAGTGCACTTGCTTAAAAAGCTGATTTTGCTGTTGTTAATTTTTAAGCTACTCATCTTTATGGGGGAAAAAACCTTCCAAACCCCATTTTTAAAATGTGTTTTAATGGTAATTGATTCTGCAGAGGACTATATATTGGTAACATCCTTATACTTTTTTTTTGTATGACTCTAGCTTTAAAGATAAGACTGATACATCTCAAATCAATAAAGCTAATGGCTGCTATAGTTGCTAGTAGTCATTCATTTCCAGTGGGAACAGGTGTCCATGAAATTTCTGATTTCTAACTGCCTATTTTAAAGACAAGTGTAAGACCTACAAATTTCAGGTTTATATCCTAAAATGAAATGTTGCAGGCTCACTAGATAATCTAATATAAAGTAGTTGTAATTTTGGATACAAGATTCTTGGTTGGAATCCATTATCTTTCAACGTTTGAAATATTTTTTTTTAAAAAAACTGATTCTTAATAAAAAGAAAAAAACACAAGAGAACAGATTATTCTTGGGAAAGTTGGTACCATCGGCTCTTCTTGTCAGTTTATGTGTATTTTGAGTTTAACAGTTTAGTTACACATCATACCACTCTGAGGGACACCATTCATATAATATACCAATGGGTGGTCATTCAGATAGAAAAATGTGAAGACGCCACTCAGCATTGTGGAATACCCAGTGTTGTCCAGGGCTCTCTCTTCATGACCAAAAGTCTTCTGTTGATTACTGTAAATATCATTCTAAAAGAATGTTCATTGACAATGCTGTGGGAAAATCTCCATTTGAAGTGGGTTTCCAATGGTACCAAATATTTAGGAAGAACTTGCATCTTGTTTATTCTTTTTAATAGCTTCCCCAACCAAAGCCCCCTAAGAAAGAATGTGAGAGAGATGATCAGGTGTGGGAGTTGGACTAGCATGTGGAGTTGGACTAGCATGTGAATCTGTCTCCCCTTCTGATTGGTGCGACATCGTGGGTCAACCCAGATGATAGCCCCAATCTTTAGGGTGTGAGCAACTGTGTATTCATGCATGGGTGTGCCTTCCTACATCCCATGGGTGGAGCTATGCTCACCTGTCCCTTTATAATATTACCCCTTGCCCTGTTTGGGATAGAATATTCCATGGAAACACCCTTTGTGTGTCCCTTTCTCTTACTGTGCCTTTGGGTGTGGCCTTCTTAGATGTCAGTCAACCTGCTGAAAGCAGACATCATGAAGCTAGATTCAACCCCTTGAAACCTAACCCTCTGCCTCATTTGAATAGCTTCTCCTCAATAAAAGGGGTCAGCACATGCTCTCTCTCTCTCTCTCCCTGTGGATCCTTAAGGTCAGAGGAGCTGTCACAGCAACACCAAAGAAGAAAGTATTTCTGTCTCTTGTGTGGTTATTTCACGAAGCCCAATTAGCCCAGTTCCCCTGGAGTGACCCCTGAGTGTTTTAGTCGTGAACAAAACCTGGCAATCAGGGCTTTTCATTCTTCTCCCTAGAATTCTTAAGTTTCTCCATTGCAGTATTTATTTGTTGTCTTTTACCCAGTGTAAGATAACCTGTTAGAATGAGGGTCTGAGAGCCTCTTGGAATCTATCTGGGGGTCTCCTGTGGCAGCTTCAGGACTCTCCCTTAGGGGGAAAAAAAAGATGTGCATTCTTTTTCTTTTTTGTTCCTTTTTACACTTTGATGCCTGGAACACAAATGTGATGGTTGGAGCTCTATCCACTGTACTGAATGTGAAGACAAAGGCCACTCCATAGAATGGAGAGCAACAAGAATGGATCACCAAAGACCTCAGGGAGCATAGTTGCCACTATAAATACCTTCCCTCATAGTCATTTACGAGAGAGAGATCTAGCTCCTATCATGGGTGGGTCAGTATTACTGTAAGTCTTTACTCACAGTTAAGTCGAATCTAAACTAATGCAGGTGGGTTTGAGAAGTAGTGTTTTTTTGTTGTTGTTGTTTTCATTTTGCTTTGTTTTTTCTTTGTGCCATAGGTAATTCTGATGCACTGGCAATTTTGAGAATCTATTCTTATAAAACAATTTCTTCCTTTAATTTTTTTTGCCAACCTGTTTTTCAATTTTATGATGAATGCATATTTTTATATCATACTCAGCATATAATTGTTGTAAGCAGTTTGGGGAGCTGTCCACTATGAACCTGAGAGTAAAACTCTACATCAACATTTAGTAGATTTAGTAGGAAAGTCTCCGAGGCATACTTGAACCTCAAATTGCCCACTACATACTGAGAGAGAAAAGCACTCACAGTGAAAGTGCATTATCAGAGAGACGGTCAACAATGTCACAATGGGAAAGAAGAGCAATTGGAAAAGCAGTACCTCTTAGCCAGGACCAAAGGGGACATACCAAATTTTGGGGAATCAACCTTCTCACTAGATCACAGATCTCTAAAATGGGATCCCAACCCAAGGAGGTGTAAAAGATGATGCATAGAAGTGCAGGCAGAAGAAAATAACTTAGCATGCTGGATGCCCTGTGTTGAATTCCCAGCCTAAAATAAAAATAGAAGAGGGAGAATTTTAGCTGCAATGTAGTACTAATAAAGACCTCAATCCAGTTAACATCACTGGAAGCGCTAGAGCTATGTTGTCTCTGCAAGAGACCAAGCGCCCCTGGGAGGGTTGGAGATGAAGGGTTATGGAAAATGATAATTCTACAAGATAGCCACAGAGAAAAATAGAAAGATGGTGTGGCTCAGGAGGAAGGAGGGAAATTAGCCAACTATTAATCTTTTCCCAGTAAATCCTTTTCCAGTAACAATGGGCCCCAAAGGAAAAAGCAAACATTCACCCCTTGAGGAGCTCATCCCAGCATCTCCACCATTCATCCTTTCCCAACCACAATGGGTCCTGAAGGGAGGAGGTAGCGACTGGGCCCTGGACTTTTTTACCCTTTCCCATTTCCTAGAAGGAGAAGAACACGCCCCCCACCACACACACA